CAGAAGAATACCAGACAATATGCAAAGTAAGTGATCTATTATATTATTCTGTTCTGAGTCATATATGAGAGACTTCTAACCCACTAAGTTGCACAACCTTCAGGATATGAATTTCGAGGTTAATAAATGGCTCACTCTCGGTTTCTTCTTCCACAGATTGGTACAGGAATGAAAGATGATGAATTGGCTTCATTTTCGGAGTTTTTCAAGAACCATGTAACTGACAAAGCAAAACCTTATTATCAATACACAATTAGTTTAGTTCCAGATCAATGGTTTGAGCCTGTTCAAGTTTGGGAAGTGAAGGCAGCCGATTTGAGTATATCACCTGGACACAAAGCCGCTGCTGGTTTAGTAAGTTCTTTCCATAGTTCATAGGTATTATTATATGAAAAAGGATATGCTTGAAGCTATCTTTATCTTAATTAAAAAGTCACTACGTGTCACACTTGCATATTTAAGACCATCAAGTTGTGTAGTGATGTGATGAAACAATAAGTTCTACAGTAGTATCTCCTTTATCAGTCAGTCGATGAAGGAAGAATAATAGGAATTGAAGAGGGAGGTTGATTATGAATACAGTGGTCTTGAGTGCTTTTGGAGGTATGAGGGCGGTTATTGCTTCCCGGTTGCCCACACCGTGGAAGGGTTCTGCTGGAGGTACCTGAAAAGGAAATTGGATTGGAGTTGGTCATAGTGACCTGAGAGCGTGATCGCAGTGCCAAATGGACAGCTGCTTGAGGTCGGTCACACACGACCTTTTTATGAGTAGTTTTTGTTAGCTCCGTACTTGTTGAGACCTTACCGCCAGAGACGGATATCCGTGGGATAAGGCCAGGTGTGCATTTTCAGGGTCGACCTTTTCTAACCCCACCCTTCCTTGTGGGAAGGCAGCATCGCTGTCATGCTAGTTGTCTGAGGGAAACACCTTACTGCTGTCACACCTCTGTACAGTCAGCAGTACGACTTCGCCTTCGGATCTTGGTTTTGTTGCTTTTAGTCTTACCGCTCTTCAACCGACCTGTCTGGCATGGTAGGACCTTGAGGAACGGTTGTTCCAGCCAATATAGTTCAGTTGCTTCACCACGATGGGCAAGCCCGACCACCACGTCAAGTTAGCAACACGGTCAGATTTGTAAGATATGCAGTAAATACAACTGTATCACTACAATCAGTTTTGAACCAGGACCTCTAACAAAAGATTGTGCCCATTGGACGGATCATGATTAAGAAGCTTACTGATCTGGACTAACAGTCAGTAGCTTCATATGCCGATCTAGTGTTTTGGTCTGCATGTTTTTGCTTCTCAATGTTACTCAGCATTCCAAGTCCGGTTAGGAGATATTGATGCTAAGGTTAGGGTGCTGCGGGAAATTCCAACCCACCCAAATGTTCGAGATATGCATTACGTGCGCCAATTTGAAGTGATTAAAATTCTTGACAGGTTCTAGTTCGTGACATACCAGAAAATGATTTATACACTACCTAAAGATGTAGAAGTACTGTTCGGCAATCTAAAAAAATTTCTTACAAGCGACGAAGAGGAATTAAACAGGATTGGTCTCTGTAACGTATAAAGCAACGTGTTTGTATAAAAAGTGTTGTGGGCTGAAAGTCCGATACCAATCAGGAAAACAAAGACTTCATAAAACGATAACAGTAACTGGAAAAAAATAGACAGTACGTTGATACATTCATTTTTTTCTTGGGCTTTAGGGCCGGATAGCGCTGGTGCCCATCTGGTTGACTTTATGAGTAGCTTTACAAAATACGTGAATATCATCAGAGATAAAATTTAATATAAATATTTTGACTTAAAAATCACGGGAGTTATAATTCCGAATTTTAAGCAAAACTAAAAGTTTTCTGTATTAACGATTACCTAACAAAACAAGTTTAGTACAGACGATTTGCAAAGACTGACTGACTGACCTAACATGTACAGTCTAAAGGATATATATCAAATACTACATTGGTAATAGCTAACTGCAACTAGTGGCTTTTTTCGAACTGCGAGAACGGTAGCACTTAACGCTGGATTAAACAAATTGCGGCACTGTCCGTTGAGAACGACAGGTTAGCAAATATTTTATGATGTACTGTGACACCGAGTGTGACGTCAACAAACTTTCTCTTACGAAAATGGAGTTCTAAATAAATACAGAGAGACATCTTATTGTATGTGACGTAGCTGCTCTTCGAAAACTTTATTTTAAGTGTCATTCAGTCGACCATACTGGTAAATTAGAAAGATAATGCACTTAACCCAACCAATAAATCCGATTCCAAACAGGATCTACCGGACCGTTAAGAATCAAGAGTAACTCCGTGGAGATTTCACACAGTGCGCTCTGGGAAATCCCATTATAAACGGGTTGGAAACCAACAACTTGTAAATAGGACTTTCAAATTGGCCTAAAATGAGTAGAAAAACACTTGTTACGAGAAGATAAAGCGAAATCCATGCCGATGACTCATTCAGCACGCCGTATGCAACTATATTCAGTGATCTAAAGACAAAAGTAACACTAGAATGGTATCAAGACAATCTGACAGTCCGAAGTGGAGGACGATTACAAACTCCCTCCTTTATCAGTAAATTTGTTTGTCAAATTGAGTAATCTTTAAACTTATATATGGCATTGAACAACCAATTGGCGTTTTTTTATCAGTTTTTAGTTATCTCCAAAATATCAGGAGCCAATAGTATTCCAACAGATACTAGCTAAATTAAGGATCGTCAACGATTCTACTTGGTCTATGCATTTGATAGAGAGTTTATGAAACAATTGCAAACCGAAATATCTGGTATTACAAGGTTTACAGATTAGTGACATGCAGATAAAAATGTATGCAGTTGCGGTTTATTCTTTGATTTACTTTAGAGATTTAACACACAAAAATGTATGCAGAGTAAATTATGCCTAGTGTATTAAATTCTAAAAAAACGCAGACGGCCGCATTGTGACACGTTTAGCATTCAAAGTTTATCCACATGTCTACAAATGGGTATACTTATATTTGAAATCGGGTGTAGTTAAGTCGATCTAAATATTTAACTGTATAAGGAATATGATCATAATCAATGTTTTTCAATACAAGAGCCTATTCCCATGTTCCTTCCCAATGTTAGTCTTATTATGTTATCGTAATACAAGGTATAATATAGATTTGGTGCCATCTGTAAAATGGTTTTGTGAGTCTTTTTTGAAGTACATATAATCGATGTATATACTATCTGTTTGAAGTGGTGAGCCTAATTAGTTTGTTTAATGTACACATTCTTCAGGCGGATCCACAAAAAGGCATTTCACTGAGATTCCCGAGGTTCGTTCGGATTCGAGATGACAAAAAGCCTGAAGACGCAACAACAGCCCAACAAGTAATTTTTCTTTTGTTAACTAGTCTTCTTTTTGGGTTTGGAAATTGAATGACACAATGACAGCGTACTTTAGTGTCATACAATTTGTAGTTATTGTAAAGGTCTTACAAATAACAAGTAACGACCTGTTTACCGACTTTTTTTGCATTTCTGACGAGTCGACAATGCAATCAAAATATGCATCTTCAGTTTTCGTATTCGAAAATACACATTCAGTCGCTTCAGAATCTTTAGATTCTTGTTAATCAATTAGGAAAATATTTGGTCTCTGTACAAAAAACTGAATACTTAAATGATGCAAAACATTCAGTTTTCGGCCTATCAAACAGTTCATATGTCATGTCTTTTCCGCCGGAAACAAATATAACATGGACAAGCCTTTAAAAATACAAAATAAAGAACATGGTTGTTGGTGAACAGGACAAGTAGCTCCGGAATTTTTAGTCAATATTTGCGTTTTTCATACTCCATATCACAAAAATGTGTGATGATCTAGTTTTCTAGCCTCCTAAGGATGTGGAAAGATTGCATCGATGATAAACCTGTTACCACCTTGCTAGATTTGAAGCTATCACGAATTCACTTAATGTGGAATGAGAAACAAGACTCGGTGACCAAAGACCAGTAAGCTAGCTATTGATGCGTCCCAGCCCCGCTATCTAGAGGGAGAAGTTCAAGCTTAGAATGGGAAGTATATTCTGCAACAGCTAGAAAACGAGCGATCATAACAAACACAATTTAAAATGTATATATATATATATATATATATATATATATATATATATATATCGATATTGCCATGGAGCTCTTAAACATTTAATCGATAAGTTCGTCCATTGACTATGTGCGTGGGTGGTAACAAATGCCCACGTATACATCTACATGCAAGCTCCACAAGACAAAATTACAAACTATGAGTTTTTGGGGATCTATCGTCATCAACACACCCAAAAATAAACCTACCCAATTACGACCCCATTATAAAGCGAACAATTTCAACTCAAAATAATAGTAATATGGATTTACACAGTTAATCTGTAAAGTAAGATACTATTTCTTAATTTCTAATTTATGACTATTACAACGATTTCCCTCAATTCCTTCAAAGAGATAACAAAATTGGTAATCAGCTCCGACTTTCACAATAGACAATACGTTTGCCGTGTTAACATAACTGATCAATAAAGAATTGCTTTCTTGTGCGGACAAAAACTATATAGTTACCTTCTATTGTCTACCATGTTTGTATAGGTTGAAGAATAAACACCTATATTCCCCCACATTTACACTTAGCATTTAAATTGAGATAAAATACGTTTGTATTCCTTGTTGTTCAGATTTCATTTAATTACCTCCAGGTTTATGAACTTTATCAAAGTCAAGAGCAGATAAAGAATCAACATGGCAAATTACAAACAGGAAACAATGATGATGAAGATATGTATTGAATTCATATTCTGTTTTTGTAAAAACAGGCACCAACGTATAGCAAATTAATTGTAAAATATTTTATATAAAAATGATAAATTACAATATAAAATACATCCTTTTGTGACACCCATCACAAACAGCTTGAGTTTTAAGTTTAGTTCAAATTACAGTTCGTACACAACGAAAGTCACAGGAGTTTGGGAAGCGATCGTAATCGTTCTAAGTCGAGAATTGGACTGTTTATAACGTTGGGCTCATCAAAAATGTGTGAGTATCCCGATACTGTTAAAATTGGTCGTATTGAAGTATCTTTTTCTGAAGGACAATCAGACAAGGTAGACAGATACTTAGTGTCAAGGTTGCATATTTCAGCATGTTGTGTCATTTGTAATTTATCTAGACTCAACTCATTCATTATATTTGGGAGCGACTCTCCACTTGTTAGGTCTCCGTGTATATCGGGTGATTTTGGATCAATAGACACAAACGGAATGGAAGATGATGGGCCACTCGATGGGGTACGTATGGAATCATCCCTTTGATCGTTAAAGCGAGTATAGTTATGTAATGCATTTTTGTGGTTAGCGGTCGGAGTGCTACTTACTACTGTCGCGGTACTTTGTGTACATTTGTTATCTCCATAACATTCAATTATACCATGTCGCTTCATATAATCCAGTGTCGCTAAGCTGTAGTCGACTACGGCAGAACTATCTGTATCCACTGTTCCACTACCAACAGCTTTGTTACCCAAATATTTATTTACTAAAGAAGATAAGTAAATACTTTGATCGGTATCGCCTGCACATCCACTATTAAGAAAGTTCGCGTTCATCTTTTTCACACTAACTAAATGTATATCTTGAATAGATTCTGAAACAGCTAATTTCTGGTTCACATTAAGCTGGTTTATTGAATGACTGGGATCAACATATATACGGGTGTCAGTTCTAAAAAAGATAGTGAAAGTATAGTATCAAAAAGAATAGTTAGAAATATATTTCACAAAGGTTAACAAATGACTGGTGTGCATTTACATCTGGTCCATTGTACTGACTGACAGTCATTTCCATATGTGTTCCATTGAGTTTTTAACACGGAACAGGACCAATAGTGCACCAACTTATGGTAATAAAGTAAAAACGTAGAACTGAGGAACAGCATAGGGTTTAGTAACTCGTTTGCTGTTTGATAAATGGACGACTTAGTAACACCAGCTGTCTGCTAAACCTTCAATAAAAATTACATCCGTATTCATATAATTTTCCATGAATCTTTTCTTTTGTGAGTCGCTTACTCATTAGTTATTAGTCGAATTGTTGCACAACCTTTGCAACAACTGGAATTTTCCTTTCTAACTACATACTATTGAGAGAAATTGCCAACTTTCACACGTAATATCAGTATCCCTTCCTTTCTGAACTATCTATATCAATTGTACTGCGTATCGTTCTCAATGACAAACGTATTTTCTTTAGTTTTTTGTACCTTCGGATCTTTAGTCGTAAAGAAGCGATAAAAATGAAACAAACATTTTACTGATTGCTTTGATGGTGAATTTAGTTGAGGACTCTGGCATGATACAGGACCCTTATATGTTAAATACGGAGATAGTCAGTTCTTGCCCGACCGTTGTTGCTACCTGGACATGATGGTCGGGCTTGCCCATCGTGGTGAAGCAACTGAACTATATTGGCTGGAACAACCGTTCCTCAAGGTCCTACCATGCCAGACAGGTCGGTTGAAGAGCGGTAAGACTAAAAGCAACAAAACCAAGGTCCGAAGGCGAAGTCGTACTGCTGACTGTACAGAGGTGTGACACCAGTAAGGTGTTTCCCTCAGACAACCAGCATGACAGCGATGCTGCCTTCCCACAAGGAAGGGTGGGGTTAGAAAAGGTCGACCCTGAAAATGCACACCTGGCCTTATCCCACGGATATCCGTCTCTGGCGGTAAGGTCTCAACAAGTACGGAGCTAACAAAAACTACTCATAAAAAGGTCGTGTGTGACCGACATCAAGCAGCTATCCCTTTGGCACTGCGGTCACGCTCTCAGATCACTATGACCACAATTGATTGATCACTGGGTGGTGATCAATGTCATGCTTGTCTAGTCCTTATTAGTGCAGATGGAATGCTATCGATCATGTTGCAGTGTGGCCACCAGTCTAGGTGTCTCGACACTGCGAGCACTATTGCAAGATTAGATGGTGGTTGGAGGTAGTCAACAGGAAACCATCGACCCGGGTTTCGTGCTACTTGGCACTCGTCAGCAAGGTGTACCTGTAATCTTGAGGGAACTGGTGCTCCCTGACGAATTTGATCCCGTGTCATTCAGCTTCACAGTCAGAGACGTTACCACTGAGCTACCCGGGCCGCGACCGACCTCCTGTAGGACTGAGATGCCAAGTAGCACGAAACCCGGGTCCAGGGTTTCCTGTTGACTACTTCCAACCACCATCTAATCTCATTATGACCACCTCTAATCCAATTTCCTTTTCAGGCACCTCCAGAAGAACCCTTCCACGGCGTGGGCAGCCGGGAAGTGATAACTGCCCTCATACCTCCAAAAGCACTCAAGACCACTGTATTCATAATCAACCTCCCTCTTCAATTTCTATTATTCCTCTTAAATCGACTTTCCACACTAAACTTCCTCTTTTGGTTTCCTCCTCAAGTGTCACCATAACCAACGATTCTAGTGCGCAAAACACTGTCCCAGGTCTACTGAAACCTCGCTCAACGTACTCACACTATGTCAAATCGGCCAGCAGGCTTCCTTGGCTAAAACCATAGAATATCGTACCATTGATGTATGCTGTGTCTCCGAAACACGCATACAGGATCCTAGCGTGGTCATTCACTTGACCTCACCTCGGCAAAACGGAGGGCCGACGAGATACACCCTCCGTGTATCTGGCGACCTGATGGCTAGTTCTCGTGGACTGGCAGGTGTGGGCATAACACTAAGCATGAGGGCGGAACAAGCGCTATTAGAGTGGATTCCCGTAAACAGTCGTCCATGCGCTGTTCGGCTAAACGGCTTCGTAAGAACTCGGAAGGATAGGGACATACGTCGTTGCCATTTCGTCGTTTCTGCCTACGCTTCCACTGACTGCAGCCTGGATGAAGTGAAAGATGACTTTTACAGAAAGCTGTCTAAACTCCTTCGTAAAGCTAAACGATCAGACATAGTACACGTAGCAGGTGACTTTAATGCCAAGGTAGGTAGCTTAAACGAAACAGAAAGACGTTTAGGTGGGTTTTTTAGTATTCCGGCACGGCAAACAGATAATGGTGATCGTCTGCTGCAACTGTGCTCAGACAACCGTTTATTTTTAGCAAACACAAATTTTAAGCATAAGTAGAGACACCGTCTAACATGGTGACCCCCTGCACCAAATCAACAATGGACTCAAATAGACCATATTGCCATCAGTCATCGTTGGAGAGGGTCGATAGAAGATTGTCGCTCATTCTGGAGTACCTGTTTGGACTCCGACCATGCCCTAATACGAGCATGCATCTGCTTGCGCCTCACTGGACGCAAAATAGCCACATTAAAAAGACCCATTAGAACTGAAATGAATAACGAGAAAACCAAAAGTAGGTTCCAAGAACAACTGAGGTCACACTTAGGTAGTTCTGAAAGCGAGGCTGACCCAGATGTTGCTTGGAAAGATATACAATCAGCTGTGACATCTATTATAGTGATTCAAACCAAGGGGTCACAAAGAACCAATGGATTTCTTCAAGGTCTATTGCACTGATGGATTCGCGTAAACTCATCCCATCAGGCTCTGAACACGATGATGAGCGAAAGCAAATCAGATCTAGGTTAACCAAAAGTCTAAGGAATGATCGTGAGCGGTGGTGGGCAACGAAGGCAAAAGAGATGGAAAATGCGGCGGTTATAGGTAACACCAGACAGCTCTTCAGACTCACAAAAGAAACTGGAACTAAAAAGTCAGGTGTAAGTGAGACTATCTCGGAAAAGACGACGTTCTTATCTGCTCCCAGTCCAGACGTTTAGAACGATGGGCGGAACAGTTTAAGGAGCAGTTCAGCTGGCCTTCAGCTACTCTACAACTACCCTTTATTCCCAGACAGTGTGAGTGGAACATTGAAGTAGGTCCTCCAACTCTAGCTGAAGTTCAAAAGGCTATAGTTAATCTAGAACGAGGAAAGGCAACTGGTCCAGATGGTTTGGCCCCAGAGGTCTTTAAGGGTGAAGGTTCAATTTTAGCGACTAGGTTGACTAATATTTTGCTAAAATCTGGGAGTTGGACGTAATCCCCTCTGACTGGTCACAATCACTTATCGTCCCAATATATAAGAAAGGGTCAAAATCATCCTGTGACAACCATAGAGGGATTAGTTTGACTTACATAGTATCTAAAATACCAGCCTCGATAATTATCGGACGCCTAACTAAGACTCGTGAACTGCAAACACGTGAAAATCAGGCTGGCTTCAGACCTGGTCGTGGCTGCATCGACCACATATTCACCGTTCGTCAGATTCTAGAACACAGGCATACTTATCGGCGTCCGACAATGGTGGTATTCCTTGACTTAAAAGCAGCGTTTGACTCTGTAGACCGAGAGGTTCTGTGGCAGTGTCTGTGATTGAAAGGCGTACCTTGTGAAGGCTCTTTACTCGAACACTACTAGTCGAGTCAGAGCTTATGGCGAACTGTCATCTGCTTTCGCAACCTCAAGTGGCGTCCGCCAAGGCTGTCCACTTTCTCCATTTTTGTTTAACTTCATCATAGATCTACTGATGGAAATAACGCTCTCATCGACTGAATTCTCGGGCATCGATCTCCTACCAGGAGGTCCACTTAACGACTTAGAATACGCAGATGACATAGTCCTGTTTGGTGAAGACGCTGATAAAATACGGAGTCTTTTGGTAGCACTGAGCAACAATGCCAGGATGTTTGGGATGCGCTTCTCTCCCTCTAAATGCAAGTTGTTGCTTCAGGGCTGGTCTGCGTCAACACCTGAGCTAATGATAGGGAGTGAAGTAGTCGAACGCGTCGACAACTTCACTTATCTTGGAAGTCTGATCATCCCTAATGGGTTGGTGTCTGACGAAATCTCAGCACGGATTCGAAAAGCTCGTTTGGCCTTTGCCAACTTACGTCATCTATGGCGAGGGCGAGATATCCGTCTATGAATTAAGGGACGAGTAAACTGCGCGGCAGTTAGTTCCGTTCAACTATACGGCTGAGAAAGGTGGCTATTAAGAGTAGAAGATAATCGTAAGCTATTAATATTTGACCACGGATTGCTCGCATCTGCTGGGATCACCGGGTAAGTAATAGTGAGGTTAGACGTAGGGTATTAAGGAATGGTGGTAAATCAGTTGATGAGGTTATGAATCTTCATCGACTGAGATGGTTGGGCCACGTGTTGCGTATGCCTGAACACCGATTTCCACGACGCGCAATGCTAACCAGTGTAAGGGATAATTGGAAGAAAGTTAGGGGCGGCCAAACCAAAACGTGGCATCAGTGCTTGAAGTCACTAACTTCTAGTCTCAGCCATGTTGGTAGATGCAGACTACCTGGTTGGGGTCCGCGTGACTATCGTAACGAATGGTAGGAGACTCTTGGTGACATGGCTCAGAATCGATCACAATGGCGTAGGTGTATACACTCTCTGTCTTCCTTTAAACTAAGAGATTAAAATCGCTTCATATCTTTCTTTCTAGGAACTAATTCTTTCTTCCTGTACTATCTCCTTATATGCAATCTTTCTTCTATATATTACCACCACTGAATTAACTACTTCTATGAATCCGGCGTTCATCTTGTTGTGCTAATGCGATATGGCAACTTGGGCCGATGCATATATGTGCCTGGTCCTACGTTGCAGCTGACTGACTGACTGAGTCAGTTCTTGGAAAAAGTGAAGGCCTAGTGCATTTAATAATAAATCTGACTTGTGTTTGTCAAATAACGTCTACTATAATCTGGTGCTTACAGCTTCTTACTGAGATAACTGTGCCACAGCAGAGAAGTGCTACGAGTGGTTTGTTGCTACCATTGTCTAGTTTCAGTTAACGTATTAGTTATTATAATACTGCATTAATTTTCTTCACATGTGAAGGAATACTTTGGAAAATAACTTACCTTTTACAATTACTATTAGTTAATTCAGTATAATTGACCTTGGTAACCGATGACGAGGGATTATCACCTTTCTTATTTGGATCAGACTGCAACCAATTTGAAACTCTTCGACTGAAATTTTCAGGATTTTTATCACTATTTACACGATAGTTGACACAATCGTCTTTTTCGTGAAAAACAATAGGAATAGAGTTTGATGTAAGCAATTCTTGATTGAGAAAGTTTTTTGTAATATTATTGTTATCTGGATGGGGTGCGGAAGCTGCAGAATCACATCTCATTCTATTATTCAAAACTTGTTGTATATTTGCCTGCCGTTGAAAATACAAAGTATTGATCGGTGATTAGTGCGAACGAAATCCCGGTGAAAGGTTGACCCAAAATTTAACATACCAGCCAAACGCAATGTCGAACCTAGTACGTGCGTACATCGTTTCACGTTGCACACTCCATTAGCAAAGCAAGATGAAATTGTTAGGGCGAACCCCAGAGTATTAACAATATTAAAGATAATAGAAAAGATGAGCCATTGCAGATACAATTCGAGAAGATATAAATTAGTGAAATAAGATTATGAGGAATCTAGAAAATTAGGTTTTAAAGGAAGATGAAAAACTATAAACTAGTGACGTAAAAAAGATTATGACGGATTCAGAAACGTAGAGCCCAAGTGAAAACAAAGAGCGGATGCACCTTCGCCATTGTGAACGATTTTGAGCCATGTGATACGAAGTCTCTAACCAATGGTTACGATAACCACACAGACCCTAATTAGATAGTTTGCACCCACCTACATGGCTCAAAGCCAATTGTCAATAATTTCATGGGCTGGTTCTGCCCATAACTTTCTTCTGAGCTACTCCTATACCAGACAACATTACCCGTCGAGGCAAGAAGATATACGTAATGCATGTCCCAACCACCTCAGTTGGTTAAGATTCACCACCTTGTCAACTGATTTACCACTTTTACCTAGGGCCCTAGCCCAGGCATTGGTCACTCAGTGGTCCCAAGATACACGAGCAATTCTTCTGAGACACCTATAGTCGAATACTAGAAACCCACGAATATCCTCTACTTAATGCCAATGTTTTACATCCACAAGTTAGAACAGAGTGAACTGATACTCTGAAAACTTTGGCTAGGGGACGAATACCTCGCCTGTGCTACAAGTGATGCAAATTGACCAAAGCCAATCGAGCTTTCTGAATCCGTGTCGAGATTTCGCCAGACACCAGCCCATCAGGACTGATGGGACTCCCAGGATAAGTGGAGCGGTCGATACGCTCAACTACTTCACTCCCTATCGTTAGTTCGGGCGTTGGCCCAAACCAGTGCAGAAGCAACATTTTGCATTTGAAAGGAGAAAAATGCATCAAAACTATGCTTTTGTTGTTGCTCAGGGTGGTCAGGAGACTGCATTTTTTCAGCATCTTCACTAAATGAAACTGCATCATCCGCGTATTTCAAGTCGACAGATGAATCTCCTGATGGAAGATCGACCTCCGAAAAATCAGACGATGAGAGTTGTCTCTAAAAGTGTTTATGACAAAGCTAAATAAAAATAGAGAAAGCGGACACCGTTGATGAACACCAATTGAGGTTATCAATTCCGATAGCGGTCCGCCATAAGCTCTAACTCGACCAGTAATGCTCGAGTAGAGAGCCTGTACAAGGTTCATTTACCTCCTTGATACTCCTTCCAATGACAGACAGAGCTTCTCGATCAACAGAGTCGAATGCTAATTTAAAGTTAGGAAGTAGGATATGTGGTCTATACATCCACATTCTGGTATAAAGCCAGAATGATTTTCTCGGGTTCACTCTTCACGAGCCCTAGTTAAGAGTCGGAGCATTATTACTTACTTACTTACGCCTGTTGCTACCAATGGAGCATGAGCTGCCGACCAGCATTTTCTAACCCACTCTGTCCTGGGCCTTCCTCTCTAGTTCTATCCAATTTTTGTTCATTCTTCTCATGTTTGCTTCCATTTCTCGGCGTAATGTGTTCTTTAGTCTTCCTCTCCTCTTTTGGCCTTGAGAATTCCAAGTGAGAGTTTGCCTTGTGACGCAGTTGGGTGCTTTCCTCAATGTGTGTCCTATCCACTTCCAGCGCTTCTTCTTGATTTCTTCCTCCGTTGGGCTCTGATTTGTTCTCTCCCACAGTAGGTTGTTGCTGACAATGTCTTGCCAACAGATCCGAAGTATTTTGCGCAGGCAACTGTTAATAAACATTTGTATCTTCTGGGTAATGGCTTTCGTAGTTCTCCAGGTTTCCGCCCCATATAGTAGAACTTTCTTGACATTTGTATTGAAAATTCTAACCTTGGTGTTGGTTGACAGTTGTTTTGAGTTCCAGATGTTCTTCAGTTGTAGATATGCTGCTCTTGCTTTGCTGATCCGCGCCTTCACATCTACATCAGATCTACCTTGTTCATCAATGATGCTGCCCAGATATGTAAAGGATTTTACGTCTTCCAAATCTTCTCCGTCAAGCGTGATTTGGTTGGTGCATTCTGTATTGTAACGGAGAATCTTGCTTTTTCTTTTGTGTGTGTTAAGACCTACTGCTGCTACACTGGTCGTCTTCTCCTGCACTTGTTGTTGCGTGTGCGACAGAAGAGCCAGATGATCTGCGAAGTCTAGATCGTCCAGCTGTATCCTAGCTGTCAACTGCATCCTGTGCTTCCCCCAGATGTTGACGTTTTCATAATCCAGTCAATCACCAGGAGAAAGAGAAAGGGTGAGAGCAAGCAACCTTGCCTGACACCGGTCTTTACTTCGAACGAGTCTGTCAGCTGTCCTCCATGCACAATTTTGCAATTTAACCTATCACAGAAATTCCGTACTATATTGACTATCTTCTCAGGCACGCCGTAGTGTCGAAGAAGCCTCCATAGTGTTGTCCTGCCAAACGCTTTCTCGTAGTCAATGAAGTCGATGTAGAGCGATGAATTCCATTCAATTGATTGTTCCACAATGATCCGTAGTGTTTCGATTTGGTCTGTACATGACCGATCATTACGGAATCGAGTCTGTTGGTCTCGAAGTTGGGCGTCTACGGAGTCCTTCATTCTGTTTAACAATACCCTATTGAAGACTTTTCCTGGTATTTAGAGAAGAGTAACGCCTCTGTAGTTCTCACACTTGCTGAGACCGCCTTTCTTTGGTATCTTGATCATGTGTCCTTCTTTCCAGTCTGTTGGTAATTGTTCTTCATCCCAAATCCTGCTAAAGAGAATGTGAAGTATCTTTGCAGTTACTGCTTTCAGTGCCTCTCCTGGAATTCGGAGCATTATCGGAGAGGGTATTTTACATACTATATCGGTCAAACTGATTCCTCTGTGGTTGTTACAAGAGGATATTTGTCCTCTCTTATGGACTGGTACGACCAGCAACTGAGACCGATCAGATGGGACTGCGTCCAGTTCCCACATTCCAACTAAGATCTCAGTCAATCTAACTGCTAAAACTGGACCACTATCCTTAAAAGTTTCCGAGATAAATTCCTCTGGACCTGGTACTCTCCATTGCTTTGGATTTCCTATAACCTCAACCTCACTAACAGTTGAGAGATGTGTTTCAGTTTGCCACTAGGATTGATTGGAGATAGTAGGTAACTGAATTGTGGCTGAAGGTCAGTTGAACTGTTTCTCAACGTTTTGCTCGTCAGTCCAATCTTATGGATTGGGAGTGAATAATGGTTCCATGTTTTTCCGAGTTAGTCTCAATAATAGTCGGATTTTTAATAACTGTTTCCTTGATAACTCCGAATAGCTGTCTATTATTACCCATCGCCGCTACCTTTCCCATCTCTTCTGTTTTCGTTAACCACTACTGCTCACTACTGAACTTTTTATAGTTTGATTTGTCGTCACTATCGTTCACCTAGTGTGACAGGATGAGTTTTCGATCTCTGATCAACTTAGTGGATACCATCAAAAATCCACTGGTCTTTCCTAACTTCCGATCTAAGTTATTGGTAGATGTCACTGGCGTATTTACAGCTGCTTGGGTATCGTTCTCAGCTCCTTCAGTATAAACTTTCTGTACAACCGACCAGGTGCTTAACTGATTCTTCCCTGAATGCTTCTCCCATCTTCCCGTCTCTGAATTAATATCTAAGAGGCCTTCCTGCTCTGACCTTTCTGCATCTAGTAAAACTCATAGAAATGCGTGCTCTCACTAGGGCATGATTACAAATTTTATTAATATTTTCTTGTAACGGCATGATTTTAAATAATCAGTAAACATCAAAAGATACCAGGAACCAATCTGATATATTTAAATGATCCATTTCTTCAGAAAACTGAAATGTGTCGTTTAAACTATGAGCCACCATTCTTCTACGGATTCGTTCTAATAATTGAGCTAACCATCGAGCCAATTTGTAATATGATGAGTTTACTATACACATTGTGAGTCTTAATGGTTGTTGGATTTTTGTACTCTCAAAAGACCATATATAAATGAAAATCACGACTTTTCCCTTCAGACTGTTGTAAGTTGAGTTATCAATGAGTTCCCAAAGATTTTTATTAACCCTATTTTCGATTATTGCAATGACATCTTTCTTAGATTTACCAACTTGGAATCTTAATTTATTATTGCGAACATTTTATGCACATCTTTTTGATTCATCGTTACAACATTTGAATCTTTAACTGGTCTTATTGCAGTGCTGCTTGTCCAATTATCCAGTGCTTCTTCAGTTTTGCCCAGGTCGCTATCACCTGGTGATGATATGAAGCTGTTTCGGTTTCTCTCTTCATTCCTACATCTTCTATGGGCACCCTAATTTTTTTAATTCATGAATGTGTGATCGATCTGGTCTTCCATAGTGGGGGAACCCATGCAGCTCTGTGTGTTTTTATAAGGGAAAATGCTTCCACCTATGACCACGTTGTTGAAAGTATATAGATTTACTATTCTCTCGCCAATCTCAGTTTGTTTTCTCAGTCCATGTCGTGCTATGATGTGTTGGTACCCAGCCCGATCCCGACGTTAAGGTCCCTCATCAGGATGGTCAGGTGTTCTTCTGGGTATTTCTCTATGATGGACTGCAGGGTCTTATAAAACTGGTCTTTATCATGTTTATTACTCTCATTGGTGGTCGCATAACAATTTGTTTTGAAAGATGCTTTGGTAATCCTTGAACCATGATTTACCTATCATATATGCGCTTCTATACGTGCTTCTTTTCATAGCAACAACACAACTTATGTGTGGTGGCCATTTTCTTCTTCATGACTAACATACAACATTTTGACCGAAATTAGTG